AACTACCATCAGCTACCTGTGTGGGCCTCAGGCGTCCACAGACCCTGCCCGCTCTCGGCTGCTGCCTCCCCATGCCTGGGCCGCACTCTGCTTCCACCTCATTTCAGCTGCTCCTCGTACAAGGCCAGGAGCTGTGAGGCCGCGTCCCTGTCCCCAAAATGGCCTCCTCGAGGTGCAGCCACCGCGTTGCCGCAGTTGAGCTGCTGGCAGAGGACGGTGGCGTCTGCTATGTCCCAGTGGGTGGCACAGAGGGGTGCCCAGGACCCCTGCACCTGGAGCTCCACACGGCCCTCACAGCTGCTGCTGCCGCCATTGACCAGCCTGAACTCTGGGGGAGAGGAAGAGTCATCGTGGCTCACAGATGGCAGACCCAGCACATGGCTGGCTGTGGTCATTTCCTTCCTTCACCCCAGTGGGGTCGGCACAGAGCCCAGCCTTGCTCTCCCCAGCTCCTCTGCCCTCCTCTGCCTCAGCATGCAGCTCACACAGCTCTCCAGAAGAATCTGATCTTAGCTGCAGCCTTGGGGCACATCACTCTACACCCAGTCTCTTCCCTGCTTCTTTCGACCAACAGAAGCAAACATCCAAAGCACCCACACCTACCGGCCAGAGGCACCTTTAGGGCATGAAGGGATTTGGCAGAGAACAAGGCAGGGATGAGCCTTCAGAGCCCACACACAGGACCTCACCTGAGCACCTGAGCCCTGCGTCACGGCGGGGCCCACACTGGCTCCCATTTCCCCGCGGGCAGTGGAACAGCAGCGACTCGTCGCCTGCACAGCGGAAAGTCTCCGTCCATACCGGCCCCGAGCCCCGGCCGAAGCAGGAACCCTTGGGTGTGGACACCGCCACCCCACACTGCAGCTCCCGGCACACCACGTGGGCCGTGGCCAGGACTGCCCGCGGGGAATGGGCATGCCCAGTTGTCGGGCCCGCCGTGACGCGCGCCTCAGGGGCTCAGGTCTCAGGTGAAGGCCTGTTGTGTGGGCTTTTCTGAAGGTCATCCCTGCCTGCGTTTCTCTGCAAATCCTTCAGCCCTAAAGGTGCCTTCTGGCGGTAGGCTGTGCGGTGCCCTTTTTTGG